CACATAACTACGAGAACTTGTCTGCAGCCACCCACTAATCACTGAGGCATGTTTAAACATGTTTTGTTTGAAATAGCCTTTGCATGTAACGATACTTTTTGGACTTAACTTCATATATGAATGTGGTGACACTCGGAAAAGTGAGTACTCGGAAAAATTCTAATTATGCTCATGTAGTTTCAGTGATAGGTAAGGGTCAGATTATGGACAACCTTGAATGGTGTGGAGGGGATTTGGCATAATAGGGAGCATTCAAGTTTCTTAAGGGGATACATTTATGAAATTTATTGAAATTTGATTTTAGGAAGCATCATCTAATGCTGTGCAGGAAGACAGTAAAGACAAGAAATGGCTGGGCAAGCAGTTGTCATAGGTCAGGGTAAGGTGCCAAGAGCCCGGCCTGGGTCTTAAACATGAGAGTAGAGATGAAAGAATAAATCACAGCAACTTAGTTTTATGGCTTGATGGGGTTTCTATCCTGGGGAGTTAGAAAAATGGGAGAAACGTCAAATTGGGGAGAGTTTGAAAAGGAAGCTGAGCTAGGGAAGAGATGGTATGTTTCATTTTGACCATATGACTTTAAGTTATAGTAAAATTGCAGTGCATTTAAATTTGTTTTATGGGAAAATCAACATCTAAGTGGTGCATTGTACTTAAAAACAGTTTTTTTTTTAAAAATGGAGCCAACCTCCTCTCTGTCAGCCTGGCAGGATTGTTTTGAGGATCAAATAAATATATACATGAAAATACTTGGTGGTTGAGAACTCTCTTATAATTGTAAAAATTATGATACTATTTCCTTATTCAACATCAAATGTAATGTTTGGTTCTGGGCCTGGGGAAGAGAGGCAAGGAGAGAAAATATCAAACTTCTTAAAGGTTTGTGTTTGGAAATAAATCAAAAGCTTTAGAAACCTCAGTCTGACTCAGATATGCCTGAAAATCCCTGTAGACTATAATTTGGGGAACTAATCTAGAAGCTGATCTTGTGTATGACAGTTATGTGAACCAAAACCAACAGGTTGCATCTTGTTAGGTGTCAGTACTTAACTTGCTTTCAAGTTGGAAATATGATGAAAGCATTTGAATTCCACCTTCATAGTTAGTCTATGTGTGTTACAGAATTTTGAAACATTCCCATCTTATGTCTGATTCTGTGAACTATGCATTTTTGCTGAGGGACAATTTAGAGCAATCTTTCCATTCTTAACCAATATGGAGATATGATCCCTGTAACAGCATTAGCAATGTTGTGCCTTTGTTCATAGCACAGACTCTGGAACCAGTATGGATTGAATCCAGTTCTCTCAGTTGATTACTAGCCATGTAAACTTAGGCAAATCATTTAACCTCTCTGTGCCCTTTTTCCCTTCTGTAAACAGAAAATAATATTAATATCTACATGATGATTGTTGGGAAGGTCAAACATGGTGTTATATGTAAAGCAGTGTCCCTGTGTGGTGCCAGCAGTTAACTTGCTCATCCAGTAACATTAAAGGTTTGAGTCCACTTGGAAGAAAGACCTAGTGATCTACTTCTAAAAAACCAATCACTGAAAACCTTATGGAACACAGTTCTACTCTGATATGGATAGGGTTACCAAGAATCAAAATTGACTTGACAGCAACTGGTCTAACCAGTATGTGTAATGCACTAACATGGTACCTGGCACATACTAAGCATGATTTTAAAGTGTTAGTGGTGGCTAGTAGGTTGTTTTTGTGGTAGCTAAGGAATAAAATAGATGACAAGAGAAACAAACCCCTCTCTTGGAACTGAGGAAAACAGAAGTGGTATAGTGGTGAAAATTCAGGGGCTTTAGAGTCAAGTATGTGTGGATTCTTACCTTGTCATGCCGCTTCCTTCCTGCTTTGTTTATGCAAGCCATTTAACCCATCTAAAACTATTGGGCTGGGTTATACCTTCAGAATCCTCCTTCACAATACAGTACTCTAGGCAGCTGTTGATACAAAAGTGGAATTTTCTGATGTAGAGCTTCCTAGTAGAATGAAATTATCAAACTACTTGGACTATTCACAAATCCTCTGTCATGGAGATGTACACTTGCCAAGTCTTGTAGCATTTCTATTTTATAACATTGTTATATAATGTAGACCTTTTCAGGTACCTTTTTGCAAAGGAGCTGTAATTATACAAATATAATGCAATGAGTTCCAGCCAAGAGTGCACATCATAATCACCTGAAATGTGGTTTTAATACTCATGTTTCAGAACTTCTCCCAGACTTTCTAAGTCAGAATCTTTAGGAGATAGGCCCTGACATGTGTGTTTTGTAAAAAGCGCCACGGATGATTCTGCTGTGAGTGGTTTAAAATAACTAGATACTGCAGAGAACCAGGCACCTTTATGTACAATTGGTATGAGTGTAAATTGGTATGGCATAGCCTGTAGAACAGTTTTGCAGTATCTAACAAAATTTCAGATTTGTTTTATGAGATTACATGCATGCACAAGGATATATTTTCAAGAATGTTTCCTTTAGACCTGTTATCACATCAAATAATTGTGATCAGTTGAGGAAAAGGTGTAGAGGGCACTTCCTTTGCCTGCCATAGGGAAGATAATCCCAATGTCTATTTCAACTAGCTAGGGGTCAGGCATGCCTCCACCCTGCATTCTTCTTTCACCCTCATCTGATACCACAGGTTCCTCCCACACCCTTTATTTCTCTGGTCTGCTTCAATAATCCGTTGCAGTGACCACACAGAACTCACAGACAACACTCACAATTATGGGGCTTTATTGGGGAAGTTAGCAGGTAACCACAAGCCAGGATTAGAGAACTTTAAGGATACAGTCTTTGGTCCACAGCAGCTCCTCTTCTCAGCCACGTGGTGCTGTGGCCTCTGGCTCAGTGGACCAGGAAACCTGCCCCCTACTCTCCCTCAGTCTTTTGGTAGCGGTGCTACTCCTTTGCTCTGTCTCATGGTCTCCTTGCCTTGGCCTCTGGTCACTGTGTGGCATGGCCTTCCACTTTATGCAGGGATTTTAAATGTGTTCTATTATTGGCTCTTCTTCCTTAATGGTTCTAGGAATTCTCCCTCTTCCTGCTTCTGAGCTGACTGATAAACTAAGGGGAAAGGTAAAACTGACTAATCCCCAAGTTCGAGTCTACCTCTTTTTTTTTTTTTTTTACTTTATTTCAACTTATTATTATAAAGCATTTTATAGGGGGCTCTTACAGTTCTTATAACAATCCATGCATCAGTTTTATCAAACACATTTGTATATATGTTGCCATCATTATCTTCAAAACACTTTCTTTCTACTTGAGCCCTTGGTTTCAGCTTCTCTTCCCCCAACCCCCCCCCTCACCCATGTGAACCCTCGATAAATTATAAATTATTATTTTTTGCATATCTTACACCATCTGCTGTCTCCCTTTACTCATGTTTCTGTCGTTCATCCCCCTGGTGGTGGCGGTGGGTTATATATCAATCCTTGCCATCAGCCCCCCTCTCTCCCCCCAACTTCCCCCTAGCCTCATACTACTCCCATTACTATTCCTTGGGGATTTATCTGTCCTGGATTCTCTGTGTCGAGAATCTTATCTGTACCAGTGTACAAGCTCTAGTCTAGCTGGGTTTATAAGGAAGAATTGGGGTCATGATAGTGGTGGGGAAGAAGCATTAAAGAACTAGAAGAATGTTGTGAGCTTCGTCGGTGCTATACTGCACTCTGGCTGCCTTGTCCCGTCCTTGTGACCCTTCTGTGAGGGGATGTACAATTGTCTACAGATGGGCCTTGGGTTTCCACTCTCACCCCACTCGTTTGCATCGGTATGATTGTTTTGGGTCTTCTGCTGCCTGATACCTGATCCTGTCGACACCTCTTGATCACACAGGCTGCTGTGCTTCTTCATGTGGGCATTGTTGCTTCCCTGCTTGTTTAACTTCAAGCCGTTAAGACCCCAGACGCTATATCTTGTAATAGTTGGGCATCATCAGCTTTCTTCACCACATTTGCTTATGTACCCATTTTGTCTTCAGCAATTGTGTTGTGTCACAGAATGTCAAGTTCTTAGAACAAAGTGTTCTTGCGTTGAGGGAGTACTTGAGTAGAGGCCCAATGTCCGTCTGCTTCCTTAATGCTTAACATATAAATATATGTACATAGGTCTATATCCCTTATCGTTATATATTAGTATATTTACATATGTACATGCCTATATTTATACCTCTATAAATGTATCTTGCCTCCTAGTTCTTTCCTTTCTCTCCCTCTTCTATGTATAGTCCCACCCAATAATTTGGTGGGAGTTATAGAGAAATAGATAGAAAAGAGCCATAGTTAGAAAATTCACTTTACCACAGCAACTAGGTAATAATCAGTATACAGATAATTGAATGCATTCAGGGAAATAGTCCAGTTTACTGTACAACCATGTAAAGAATGAAGTATATGTGTATATATTGATATAGAATGATACCTAGGATATATTAAGTTAAATAAGCAAATCCTATAATAAACATAGTTTTATATGCAGATATACTTACCAAAGTGTTTACTGTCATTATCTATGGCAAAGAGTGGGAATAAGAATCGACTTATTTCTATATTTAAAAATTGCAATAAGATATTATTATTGTAATTAAAAACAAAATCCACTGGACAAAACATGAATGACTAAAAAGGAGTTTACATGGAACTTAATTCATGTACATCAAGACAACTGCTTATGTTGCAAATACCAGTTTTAGCTTGAGTTATGTAACCTTTAACTTGGGAAACACAAATGTCAAACTATTGCTGGTTTGCAAAGAGAATAAAATGTTGCTAATGTTATTGTGTCAAATACATATGCATTCGAGATGAAAAGTATTTGCCTTCTGTTGGAATGGTATTACTAGTTTTAGAAATATTTAGTGCCTGTGCATATCTGGATATTTAAATTGGGTTCTTAGCATTTTAGTTTAATCTTTTTCAATTGATTAACATCTAGCTTATGAGGCTTTTAATACTTCCTAATCTTTTTTTAGGCCCGATGAGAGAAAGGGAAAATTAAGGATGCTGGAGCAGAACAATGGATTTCTCTTTCTCTTTCATGCAAGGGATCATGGGAAACACAATTCAGCAACCACCTCAACTCATTGACTCCGCTAACATCCGTCAGGAGGATGCCTTTGATAACAACAGTGACATTGTTGAAGATGGTGGCCAGACACCGTATGAAGCTACCCTGCAGCAAGGCTTTCAGTACCCATCTACAACAGAAGATCTTCCGCCACTCACTAATGGCTATCCACCGTCTATTAGCATGTATGAAACTCAAACCAAATACCAATCATATAACCAGTACCCCAATGGGTCAGCCAATGGCTTCGGTGCCGTTAGAAACTTTAGCCCCACTGACTATTACCACACAGAAATTCCAAACACACGACCACATGAGATTCTGGAAAAACCTTCCCCTCCACAGCCACCACCTCCCCCCTTGGTACCACAGACTGTGATTCCAAAGAAGACTGGCTCACCTGAAATTAAACTAAAAATAACCAAAACTATCCAGAATGGCAGGGAATTGTTTGAGTCTTCCCTTTGTGGAGACCTTTTAAATGAAGTACAGGCAAGTGAGCACACAAAGTCAAAACATGAAAGCAGGAAAGAAAAGAGGAAAAAAAGTAACAAGCATGACTCATCTAGATCTGAAGAGCGCAAGTCACACAAAATCCCCAAATTAGAACCAGAGGAACAAAATGTAAGTTGAAAAAAAAATTTTTTTTGAAATTTATTTTAATCTTTCATGCTATTAAAAACCCGAGATCTTTTCACTCTTTCTCTTCACATACATATATTTCTAATAACTGCTTCTAACCCCTAGAAAGCCACTTGGAACAGTATAATGAGTACTGAATAAGTATTTGTTGAATCAATTAGTGGACATCATTTGAGTTAAGAAATACTTTAAAAACATGTCCCACTAAGAATTTTGGTGCATGTTTCTTCTCATAATTTTGCTCCTAATCAATCCCAGGTTTTTAAAGATGAAGATGAAAGACAAAGAGAAGATGGTTACTTAGATTGGATTTTGAAATTATTATTATTGTTTTAGACCAGGTGTTGGCAAACTGTAGCACATGAGCCATATGCAGCTCTTTTGGTACATATATGAAAAATTGAACCATTTTAAGGGACATTTTCCTGATAATGGTGATATCATTTTGTTTGTAAAAAATATGTTTATGGCTCTCGAATAATTTTGAAATTGTTGTGAGGGACACAATTGGCTCATCTATCTCAAAAGTATACCTGACCCCTAATGGTCCAGGTTACTTACTAGTATGGCTTAGATTTGATACTCATTGCTAATATATTCATTATAAAATATACTGAAGTAATTGAGGAAATCTTTTTTATTGATGTTAAATATAGTACATATATTAAAATTTCAGATAGGTTTTTTAATATGTAGGAGTTAAGTTTGATTGCTTAATAATAATACTAATCAAACCAAACCAAATCCCACAAATGACTGCTATTAAGTCACTTCTGACTCACAGTGACCCTACATAGGATTTCTGAGGCTTTGTAAACCTTGACAGGAACAAACAGGCTTATCTTTTCTCCTGTGGAACAGCTAGTGGATTTGAAGCACCAACCTTGGCAGTTAGAAATCCAGTGCTTAACCTGCCTGCATATGTAACACATCAGTTCTAGCTTGAATGAAGAGCTTTTTGTTCGTATCTTCATATATTACAGGAATGTCAGCTGTTTACTAGATAGTGATTTGGGAAGAAATACACACACAGACATGTTTTCCTTAGTTACCTGCTTTTATATGTGGAATGTCTGCATGAGTTAATTTTTTATCATCTGTTAAAAGAAATATTTGTTTCTTATTACACTTTTTTTTGGGGGGGTAATGATTTTTTTACTTCGCCTAACTAAAAGATTATCTTTTTCTAGAATAGAGGTCACAATGGTTCGAGCCTCTCACAAATTCCAATGTGATATTTTAGCATATTTCCTTATTTTTCTATAGTTTCTTTATTATTTGTTTTACATACTGATTGAGTACCTCTGATGTGCCTTGCACTATTCTAAGGATTGAGAGGATAGCAATGAATGAAAAGTAAAAATGCCTGCTCTTAAGCTCTCAAGATCCAAAAAATAAATACATATGCATATATAAGTTCAGCTAGTGGTAAATGCTATGAAGAAAATAAAATGGGGTAATAAGAAAAAGTATAAACCAGGGTATATTAGTCCAGGTAGACTAGAGAAACAAATCTAGGGAGACTCATGTGTATGAGAAAGAGTTTTATATCAAAGATTAATTGTACATTAAGAAACCATCCCAACCTAGTCCAGATCAAGTCTACGTCCATAAGTTCAATATTAGCTCATGTGTCTGATACTAATCTATAAAGTCCTCTTCAGACTCATGAAATACATACAATGACGCCAAATGCAGGAAGATCACAGGCCAGTGAGTGGATAGTCTTGTGGATCCAGGGATGGTGGAAGCATCTTAGTGCTGGCGTGGGTCTCCATGTGGCTCCTCTAGGTTCAGGGCTCTCGTTGCATAGATCCATGTGTCTTGTCAGTAGAGAGTCTCCAAGGGAGTGAGTAGTGAGAGAGGTGTCTCCTGTCTCCAAGGAAGAAATACAGGAGTTCCCAGAATTCTCAGGAGAAGGCCATGCCCACATAGAGGCCTCATTGGCTGTGACCCAATTGGCAGTCTAGACTCTTACTCCTTCACTCTTAATCCTCTCAAGTCCCAAACTGACACCAGATTATGTAACTACCACACAGGGTACTTTAGTTACTGTGATGTAATAGTTCTTTATCTGTAAATGAAGGTTTTAGAATTATACCTACTCCTCACTTAGTGACTATTCTGATATTTTGCATTTATGACAATAATAAAAATCCACTGCCCTACTACTACTTGATGGATGAACAGTGTAAGTCTGTTAGTAACAACCACTGAGGTGTGAAATGTACTAGCTGGGATAGATAAGGTTATGCCTGTCTTCAGCTGGACTATTGATTCTCAGTGGTTGGCAGTTATGTATGATGTAGTCATTCTCCATTTTTTTATCTGATGACACTCTGCTTGTTCACATCATGGCAATTTTCACGTAATGACCTTGTCTCTGGAACCTCGCCATGTTGCTAAGTGATGAGTGAGTATAAATGGCTTCTGAAATGCATTCTCATGTCATTTATTAAACATCCTCCCCCTCTTCCCTTCCCAGATAGGACCTAGCTCATATGAGTATTTTATATTGATTATTTATTGAATAAATGAATCAGTGAAAGGAAAACAATATTTTTTGAACAACAAATATATTCATTGTAACATTTCTTTCTTACACCTGCAGTGGAAATATATAAGATGTTTTTTGCCCATGGGAATCACAAAATACATAAAACTTGAATGTGGTTGTAGCTTAATTTCTGGGCATGGTATGTCTCGCTTTTTGCTCTGGCAAGCAGAATATCCCATTTGACTTTAGGCTAGACTTTTTGTCTTTATATATAAAGTTAGGTAAAAGTATATCTCAAAATAGAAAAAGAGTTGGGAGCAGTTGAGGCAGGATAAAATGTCTATTTTCTTATCATTGCAATATTTCCAGTAGTCACAGTTCAATGATTTGATTTGATTTGATTTTTTTTACATATGCACATCTGTGTTTATTGCTGCACTTTGCAAAATATCAAAAACAAGGAAGCAACCAGAAACACCTATTATAAAGGAATAGATAAACCTTGGTACTTCCATACAATGGAATATTATACATCAAATTTTTAAAAATTACTGTCTTTTTTTTTTTAATGACTGTCTTAAACACCACAAGGCATGGAAAAAACTAGAGAACATTATACTTAGCAAGCTCAATTAATCTTGAAAACATAAATATTAAATAACACTAGCATTATAATGAAAAAGATGAAGAAACTTAGATTATATACTAAAAGGTAAGACTTTGATGACTGTGAGGAGGCAAAGGACAGGGTGGGAACAGGGACAGGTTGTTGAGGAAGATAATCCAATGATTATAAATCCAACCCTACTTGTATTGGTTATCTGCTATGTCTGGCTATTTATATAATTTAATCTTTGTTAGCTGACAGACTCATGGATTCAAATATTTAGATATAATCTTTAAGAATTTTGTTTTTTTGGTGAATCATGCTGGGCACAATTCAATGTTCTTTAGGCTCTTATATCTTAGTATAAAGGAACATCCATTTTGATTAAAGATATATAGAAAGTGGCAATACTTGTGGCATTGATTGCACAGACTAAGACATTGTCTGAAAGTTGAGTTTTAAGGGGAAAACCGAGTGTTTTTTTTTCTTTGTCATGTTTCTCTCCCTTTCCCCCCTTCCACTCTCTCTTTCTCAGTCTCTCTCTCTACTTAGTCTCCACTACCCTTTAAAAAAAAAAGCAAAGAGCTAAGTTCTTGATAGCTGAATTTTGGTTAAGATTGTATCATACATGGGGGCATAATTATCAGCTTAAGAAATGGGTATCAAAAGTGCATTCTGACAAGGGAACTGCAAAATAGCCACCAAGCTCTGGCTGTTTTGGGAGTGTCATCCTGTTGCTAAGCTATACAGATGACTAGCTCTCACACATTTGCCATCAAGGTGATTCCAACCCATAGTGACCCAGGACCAGAGGGTAGAACTGCCCCTGAGGGTTTTCCAGGCTGTACCTCTTTACAGGAGTAGAAAGCCTGTCTTACTCCCAAGGAGTGGCTGGTGCTTTCAAGCTGCTTACCTTGAGGCTAACAGCCCAGCATGTACCTACTACACCCCCAGGGCTCCTACAGATGGTTATATTTTATAGAATCACAAATGATTCTATGTATTGTAGCCATATTTATTTTTAATTGGGGTTTCTTAACTTGAAAAATGTCTATACTGCTCCCTTGAAATCAGTCAGGCTCAGTGTTTTAATTTTTCGTAATTTTGTACCTATTGGTATTCAGTGATGTTTCAGCATTATGGAGGGTTTATAGGTGTGAAAAAGAACCTCAAATAAAAGTGCTAACACCACAGGACAGCCCTCTCCACACATGACTTAGAGAAGCATAATGAAAACAGTGCCTAGGAAAACAGTCTGAGGTGACTTCCCTCTAGTTAAATTTGTTGTTTTTCTTAAAAGTATGCATTTCTCAAAAGTCCACTTATAGGTTCTTTTTTTGAGCCAATAAAATCTTATCTAAAATAATGCACTTTAAGACTTTTAACCTCCCTCCTTTTTTAAACGTGATCTAGAAGTACTTCTTCCCAACTTAGAGCTCCTTAGCCTTCTAGAGAGGGATTGTTACTTGGAACCACCTAAATCTATCTTTTCAACAATGGAAATGTGTCCACATATCTAGGCAGCGGGAGACCTGAGATCACTTTTGAAATTGTATATTTTGTAAAGCTGTTTTAGCTGTTTTCCCTCTCACCAAATTAGAAACATGTGCAAATGTTTCTGCATCTCTTCCTCCTTGCCAGGTGTAATGCCTTAGGCATGTGAGTATAGGCCCCGTTCAAACAGCAGTCTACACTTCAGTGGGTTTAGCTAGCCTCTAGCCCCATTAACTCTTAGTATGCCATTTCCACTTATTACTTTTGGAAATCATTTTATTGAGGGCTCTTGCAGCTTTTATAACATTCCATACATCAGTTGTTTCAAGCATATTTGTACATAATGTTGCCATCATAATTTTCTAAGCATTTGCTTTCTATTTG